AAAGCCTCAGCTAAGGGCGGGGATGCAACCACAGGTCCCACCCCACAGGGGGGGCGGTTGTGGGGGGGAGGGGGGATACCATGGGGTGTGCATCATATATACAATAGCAACTGGCAAGGACTTCCAGAAGTGTGCAAACAGTCTGGCTTTCGGAAGTCCCGGAATATCACAGCCCATCCATCCGATCATTTGCTTGCAGCTTTGAAACTTTCCTGCACGAGATTCCATGCCCACGCAACAGGAACTGTTACATCAGCTGTTGGCCGCTGTTGCAGCCCGAACAAGGGCCGCCGAGTCCGCGGTAATCAGGTCACGCAGAGCAATGTCGGATTCCAACATTGGTCTACCACCATTGCCCTTCATGGACCTATGCGCGGCACACAACCTTCCTCATCTGCCATGATGCCATGGTTTGCTAACTGAGGCAATCCTCGGGGAACGACGGGGAATGACGTTTGCTCCATGTGTGCTGCGCCGTGAAGCAAAGCCCGGTGATGTGAAAAGCCTAATGCAGTATGTGAAAGACATGTCCGGCACTTCACCCCCTATGCGCGCCGCAGTCTTGCTAGTGCTAGCTAGAGACCAGTCATTCTACCAGAGACCAGTCATTCTACCAACGTCTCGAGGTCAGAATCACTCACGGCTTGGCTCGCATGAGAGCACTTCGAGTCTCCTTGCCGGGCGAAACAGCATAGACCCCTGAGCTAGTGTAGCGACGACTTCTCCAATCGACCAAAGTGATTGCCATAGGAGTGGCGGAGTAGCAGTCAAATCCAGAAACCTTGCACTTACGGTGTTGTCAAGGCTGCTTCTACTGGCCACCCAACGACGATCAGTCGTGAGCCCGCTGTTTCAGCATCTGTAGTCCCAAATATCTTCTTAGAACACTCCACACCTCATTCCTACCTCCAGCTAGGATGTAACCACCACTCCCGAACGCTACTGAATTGCGGCGCTGGGGCTCTCCGGTCTGGTCGTAGAAGTTGTCGCCCAGGATCGAGAACATATCCATGCTGGGGTCCTGCCATCACATGAGCCGACACAAGGTCGACAGTCTCAGCGAAAACAAACCTGTCGAAGCGCACACATGACATCGGACACACATGATCCGGGCGTATGCAGCTGCCTGAAGCCAATTCTCTCTCACTTCCATACAGCCACAGGTCGTGCTCATGCAGCAAATGCAAGATAGATATTGCTGGCCGAGGGACAGAAAATACTGCATTGAGCATGGCTGTGGAATTCTCAAGTGTGTTGAAGACCTCCGCATAAGCCTGAAGATGGAAAAACAAGCATGAGCGACGCATGCGGCCAGCATATGTGGGCACACCAGTTGCTGCATCCAACATCTAAAATCTAAAAGTCAGTCTTGCTTCAGCTACAACGCGATCCAGAAAGCCCCAAGCAGGCTACAAAGCCGAAGTCAGCTGAGGGGCGCAACCAATCCATTTTGACGAGAAGCATGGATCCTCACTGTGAGAGAACCAGTGTCAGAAGCTCTGAGCACACTTAAAAGAAAACCTTCAAAAAATGCGGATTGTTTTGCAGCCAAAGTTTCGGACCAAAAGACGGCTCGAATGCCTGCATCTTCTGCTGGGAGACGGACCTGTGGAAAGTCACAGAAGCACGAATGTTCGTACCTCTGATAGCACGGAAGTCACGAGATGTTAACCTGTTCAAGGGACGGGCTGGGACATGTGTGCACCCCTGCTCGCAACGGAGGAATGGGGAGCCCTCTGGCGACGTGACCCGAAACCTCAGCTTCCGGAAAGCGATTCCCACAAAACATGCTTTCCCGGCTGCCCATGCTGCGGCCTCCACGTCCTGACCACCGATCTGCAGCAAATTGGCTCCAGGTTTCACGTCAATCAAAGCCTTAGATTCGAGGGCCGTCATGCCATGCAGACCGTGCAAGCTTATGTATAGGACATGTTTGGATTGGTGTATAGGACATTGTGCACAAGACGTTCGCTGGCTTCTGATTTCCGAAATCAAACCCCAAAGCTGCACTCCAGGAAGCCCTAAATCACCCACACCCACCAGAACCCAACTGCAAAACCTACTTCACAAGAAGCCCGAGCGACTGCGAAGCCAAAGCCAAAGGCACCCTGAACTTCAGCCCCCTTGAACGAGGAATGCAGGCTTCGACATGGGACAGCACGCACGGAGTGCAGGCAGGCCTTTTTTGCCGCATGGCTTGGGAAATGCAGACGCGTGCTTGCCAGCACATGGCGTGCACGATCAAGAAGTCACACTCTTTCTACGGGAACGTGAACTGCATCTTCTCCTCATACATTAACCGCAAGCGACGGGCCCGACGCAGGGGCTCATCAAAAAGATGCCTGAGTCTCCAGACACCGCTCACGAAGAACTCTTACCGAAAAAGCAGCACCGGCATAGGACGGGGCGATTGAAGAACCAAGCAAAACCCGTCTACAAGAGCTTTCGAGAGGCCCGGCATCGCTCCACTTTTGCTTCTCAGCCCGGAGCCACTCCTGTCGCTGTTGGGGCTCAATGAATACAGTTGCATGTCTGGCGGTGCTGCCAAGCGGTAGGAGCTTCGAGGAGGGAGCAGAGTTCATTTGCCGCTGCGTGCCGCTGTGCCAAGGACTCAGGACAAACAAGTGTTCGGAGCCTGTAGACTGGCAAGTCCAAGGAGGCGCATAGATTGCCAACAGCAGCGGGGGCCCTTCCATGCCACATGGGGCTTGACTTAACAGCGACGAGGCGAAGGACCGGGGTGCCGCAGCTCGAAGCTCCTCGTGCTGCAGGAGCTTGAGATGTTTCTGCTCCAGGCGGGCCTGCAACGGGCGGAAAGAGAATCCCTCAGGGCTGATTGCAGCCACGGAAATCTTGCATCCTAGCTGTCCCCGCTCCCCGCTGCAGGCCCCATCCTCGGAGCGCAACCCGATGCTGGGGGAATCTTTTCGTTTCAGTTTCAGTGGCTGGCTGGACAAACTGGACCTGACTTGAGAACAGGAATGCTTGCAAGATCCTACGCGCAGAGCACCAACAAATGTCAAAAAGTGCCGGTAGAGAGGGGAAGCTGATGCAGTTGACGATGTGCGATTATGTGAGGTTCCGGGCCTTCCGCGTGGTTCCGGCCATCTCTGCGGCACAAGCGATGATCCCACTGGGCCCCACCCAGACCTGGCCAAATCGACCTGGACATTGGTCTCTTCATGTCTCCGCGCAAGGGCGAGTTCGGGGTTTCGGGGCGGGAGCTGTTATACACTGACAGCGGAGATTCTGTCAAAGCAAAAACAAGATCAATAAATTCTTGAGGCCTTCCACCTTCGTCTTCGATGCCAGGTCACTGACTGTGGCCGCTCGCAGGTGCTCCAGTGGCCGGAAGCCACACAACATCGAGTCCTCCCTGCCGCAACTGAGGACCATCCTCGGCTGCACACGAAGAGGCCAAGCCAAGGCTGGGAGGAGCTTGGCGAGATAGCCAGAGACGGAAAAAAA